CTCATTCAAACCTAAGTATTTCTCCAAGGAAAAGGTTTAATTTAAAAATCTAAATAGGAAAGTGTGTTATACAAATTGAGTAAATGCCTACAGCATACCAAAATCTAGTTCTAACTTAATAAAAACACATTTGAGAACATCTTCAAAGTCACTCTCGGTCTAGCACTCTCAGATAAGAACTGGGTGCAAGGAGCTTCTCTACTTGTGGGAAATTATTTGCCTCATTTCCTTGGTGAAGAAAAATGCTGCCAGTCAGGGCATTCTTAGGCCACCATGGGAAACAAAAGAAGAGAGTCTCTAGCTGGGGAAAGTTATTGCCAATTTCTTTCTTCCCATTTCCTCAACAGACTTGCCTTCTCCCTCTTTATTCCTTCCTATTTTCAACCTGCCACTCTGGACCCTGCCAGCCCTCCTGCTTAATTTTCCCACGCAAGGTATTTGGTCACATGTCTCCCCAAGGCAGCCATCAAATCAGATGCCCAGCGTCATTTCCTTCTCCCTGCGTGACAAGTGATGCTGTTGACAGTTCACTTCCCTCCCAAAGTACACCACGTTTCCAGGACAGGGTCCCAAAACTACTCCTCACTTGCCTGTTCATTAGCTGCCTTATGGATTATGATGCTAAGATTATACTCAGAAAAACACAGTGCACTGATATTGGCTAGCAAAAATGTGTCCTCTGGCCCCTCCTTCCTGTTCCTTAGTGATTTTTCACTTGGCCCCATATCTGATTATGGGAATCTTCAGATCCAGAGAGCTCTGGGACCAGTGAATTAGACCTCAGCTCTGCTCTGTCCATGCTCCATAATTCTTCCCTGCTTCTCCTGAAGACAAAGTAGAGAAAAGAAAAACTTTGGTCCTCTTCTAGCTTTTAAATGCTGAAAAGGAGTGGGGTAGCTGTGTTGGTCTAAGGGCATAGACAGACAAGGTTCTTTGAGTAGATGTGATATCTTTTATTAGATCAACTAAATAGTTGGAAAAATTGTTCTTTGCAAACATTCAGGCACAAATGCCTTCTTCAGGCAAGGGGAGAGTCTGGTGGAGTTTTGTGTGCTCTCCTGGGTAGAATAAAAGCGAATATGCAAAATGTGGGTTTATGAAAATGCAATTGTGTGGCAGTGAGGGTCAGAGGGAAAGGGAGACAATAGGTGTGAGACAGGTAGGTGGGATGGGAAGGGGGGAAAGTAAACTTGGTGATAGAAGGTAAAATGTAGAGAAGTTACCTGGGGTTATCAGATGACAGGCAGGTTGTAATGTGCCATAAATCCATTGTCTATATTAAGTCTATGATGTTTTGTATCCAGTAGATTTATGAAGCAAAGTTTGCAAGCTCATCTATGAAAGGTGTTCTGTAAATTTCCTTGGAGGATTAGAACTGAGAGAATAGAGAGAGAACAGTTATCTTGTGAGAAATGTGCACCCACAGGTAATTGGGTACTTTTGTCTTTGATAGATTTCTGGTATACATTCATTCTGGTACATGGTTGTTGTTTAGTTTCTCCTACATATTTTCCATCAGCGCATTTAGTGCACTGGATGAAATGTATTACATTTCTGGAGGTGCAGGTGTAAGATCCAGGAATGGTGATGGTTCTGTTGTGGGGTGTAATGATTGTGGGAGTGCCAGAGATGTGTTGGCAGATTTTAAATGTTGTATCCTGGCATGGTCTGGAGCTATTTGGTGTGCTTTGGGCCATAGGCCATTGGATCTAGACCATAGATTGCTTGTTTAAAGGCTAGGATGGGTGATTCTGGAAAGATCTCTTTAAGAATTGGGCCTTCTTCTAGTATGGGTTGTAACTGTTTGAGGATTTTCCATGTAGGTTCTAGGGAAGGATTGTATGTCATAATTAACGGCATGTGTTTCATGAGGATTTTCTTTTTGTACTGCAGCAGTTCTTCATGTGGTATCCAGGTGGCTCTTTCAGAAGTACAATCTCTCTCTGGAGGAGTGTTCTTGTTGGGCGAAAGCCCTTTTGAGATTTGCAAGGTGATGATTGCAGGTATTTTCCTCAGTGCAGATTTGGTGGTATTGGAGGGCTTGGTTATATATTACAGCTTTCTTGGTGTGTTAAGGGTGATTGCTGGTTCTGTGTAGATATGTATGGTGTTTCATGGGCTTCTTGTGTATGATGGTTTGTATTTTACTATTCTGGATATTGATCATAATGTCTAAAAAGGAAATGTTAGTGCTGGAGTATTCCAGAGATAGTCTGATGGAGGGGTGATGGTTACTGAATTTGTGATGGAAATCAATCAGACTGCAGGTTTTCAGTCCAAATGATGAAGATGTCATCTATATATATTTAGGTATAGCATGGGTTTGATGGTGCAGTTCTTGAGGAATTCTTTTTCCAGGTGGGCCATAAAAAGGTTGGCAGTTTGTTGGGCCATTTTGGTGCCCATAGCTGTGCCCATTGTCTAGAGGAAGTGTTGGTTATTGAAACTGAAGTTGTGTGTGAGGATGAAGTGTACAAGTTCAGTAATATCTTTGAGTCTGTACTCTAAGTTGCAAACTTGCTCTTGTAGATATGTGAGGCGGGCTTGGATGCCATCATGGTGTGGGATTTTGGTATATAAACTAGTAATATCCATGATGCCTAGGAGGGTGTTGCTGGGAAGGTGGTCTGTGTTTTTAAGTTTTCATAGAAAGTTTGTTGCGTCTTGGACAAAACTTGGTCTTTGGGTGACAAGAGGTTTTAGGATGGATTCAATGAAACCTGATATTTCCTCAGTTAGGGTTCCATGGTTGGATATTATAGGTCTGCCTGGGTTTCCTTGTTTGTAGACTTTAGGGAGCATGTAAAAAGTCCCTGGATTGAATAGTGAGGGGATCAAGCTTTGTAGTTTTCCTTGTAGTTCAGATGGAAATGATGTGATAGTGGTTTTGAGTTTTAAGGTGAAAAGGGGAGTTGGATCTTCCTCTAGTTTTTTGTAGTAGGTGGTGTCAGAGCTGTCTGTTGGCTTCTTTTATGTAGTCTTCACGGTTAAGGATAACTATAGTTATCCATCTTTGTCTGCTGGTTTTATTACTATTTGGTGGTTGGATCTCAGTGGTTCTCTTGCCCTTCTCTCTGAGAGGGAGAGGTTGTTATGGTGGTGCTTGTTGTTGATTATTTTGTTGTTCATTCTTTCCCTGAAGCAGTCAATATAGCAGTCGAGGTTTGAATTTCATCCACTGTGAGGTGTCCAATCTGATGGCAGGGGGTTTGTCTGGGGTTTTTTGGTCTTAATATTTTCCTCTATGTTGTCACAAGAGGCAGTGTTGATGAAAGTAGATTCATTTTGGTTGTGGAAATATTGCTCAAGACAGAGGTGTTGGAAAAATTCTTCTAGTTTTCCACATTGTAGTATCTTAGGTTATTTTTCTGGACAGAAATTAAAACTTTTAGGGAGGCCTTTAGAAAGGGAGTGGGACATAAGTAAAATCTACCATTAGGGCTGACACCTTTCTGGTAGAGGGTGGTACCAAGGTGACTCTTTCTTCCTTTCACATGTGTTCAGAGTATGATAGGGCCCTTTTTGGACATGAAAAAGTGATGTTTTGTTTCAATTATGTTAGGGCAATGAAGTTTAATATGACTGAAGAGCCCAACCAAAGCCACCTGAGCAATAGGCTGTACCATGAGCTCCAACATAAGCACCTAACACAACTTTGAGGGTCTTAGTTGGTATCTTAATAAGTTTTCTCTGCCCATGTGAATGAGTTCCAGGAAATGATAAATTTGGTGCCTATAAGAGTGATTATAGTGTGTTTGTACAAGAATTAAAAACATGAAGATACAGTGTACAATCCACATTATGACACAATGTAAGTTACTTTTACTGTGCAAAGACCTGATTTCTTTCCCTAACTCTCTTTATAGATGATGATCATCCTTGGTGTAGTATGTGCAGTCATTCTTATTATAATTATAAGTGAGTAATTTATTTTCTTTTTCATTTACAGTCTAAATATCTCTGTGATTTCCAGTGAACTGACATCAAAAAACAAAATGAATATAAAACATTTAGGAAAATTGGTTTGTGAATATCCCTTTCAAATGTCATACAGTTATGAGAAATATTGCAAACTCCACTAAATATTTGCTGATTGAGGTTGGGCAATGTCCAAATCTTAATGGAACCCAGTCTTGTTATACTACACAGTTTTCCCTGGTGTACGATTTGGTTTCCCATGATTAAGTGAACTTTTATGCAATATCAGTCTACCTCTCATTAAAGCCATTGCAAAAGTACCATTGACTTCAGTGGGGGAAGGAACAATCTTAGAATTAGAGTTAAATACCACTTTTAAAAATATTTTATATTTTTAAAAGGCCAGATTTTATAGGTATTTCAGGTACAGACTAGGAGGACTTTTTTCAAGACTGCTTCTCTGCACTTTCAGGTACCTAAATACCTTTAAAAATCTAGTCCAAAGCCTTTCTGATATTTTTGTTATAATAAGTAGTTGTGTGTAATATTCCACACATCAATAATACATGGAAATAAAATACAAATGGAGAGTCACAATTATGTTTGAAGCAGAACAAGCATCTCAAAATAACTACAACTGAAGTTCAGATAGCATACACACGGAGATATTAATATATTAAAAGCAAGGATTACAAAGTCTTTTTCCTTTTTAATGTATAATTTATGTATGAGCAAGAACTCTTATGAATGAAGTTGTTAATATAAAATAATTTTAATATGGAATTAGCTATGAAAACAGGGGTTACATTCAGTCAGACAATACTGCCAGTAACCCAAGAGAGATTTAACAGCAAGCTATGTTACGGATATGCATTAATCCCCCGTTCTCAGATCACATAATCACTTTCACTCTGTGTCCATTTGCTTCCATTATTTCTTTAAAGTAGATTTAAAACATCATCAGTAAACAGAACATGCTGGATTTAGGTGCATATGGAAGCTTATTGGTATTGCACTTGTTGGCACTACTGTGACACAGGGAGATTTTCAGGTTTCATAATTCTGACGTTATAAAGATGGAAAATAACCATCAGATCCATTTTGGTTATTAGTGAATTATATCATCTTATCTGACTGTCTTCATTTGACAATTAGGATTCCTTCTGTGGTCTGGTGCATCAAACTGTGAAGACATATGCACAGCCTTTAAATTGATTATACTGATGTAATACTTAATCCTAGGGCACTCCTCATGTCCTTGCAAGGAAGTAAAAACAAGAAAAGAGGAATCCTTTTTCCTTCCATTGCCTGACCATCACACTGGCTTAATATACTTTTGTTGCCATAGCCTGATGATCTGAATACTTTATAAACATTTTGAGACGGAATAACAACATTTAAGTCCAGCATACAACAGAAAAGACAGATTTGAAATTACTTGGAGAATACTTAGGGAATAGCTGGAATTTGGTGTGTATGTGATTCTAAACTCAGGAGCGTGGCATCACAGAATGAAGACCATGTCTAACACTCACAGGATCTACTGCAGCATTTAACTTGATATATATAGACTGATGGCCATATACTATTTCAAAAACATTGCCTTTATAGTCCATATCCTCACAAGCCTGATACTTCTATTATTTCCCCTGAAGTATTGCTTGTAGGCCTTAGTTGTGATAATTCAGGACTCAGTGTACACACATTTTGATCCAAGTTTATAATTTAAATAGGCAAAAAGATTAAAGAAAATAATAACCCTGTTGTAAGGATTAGAAACCCAGGCAGAGAGAAATTAAGGCCTAGATTTAGAAAGACACTTATTCAGGACAACACTTAAACATGTACCACTGAAGTCAAAGGACTTAAACATTTGCATAAAGTTAAAATTAGGCCTCAGTTCCCATCATTAAATCCCTACATGTGAAGTAGTTTGACCAACAGGTCAGTGAACATCTGTAAGTACCATTGACTTCCACAGGATTAATTTGTGCTTAAGTGCTAACCTGAATAGGGACCTCAGTGATTTCTTTAGTGCATGATGGTACAAGTCTCTCCTCCATTTCGCTGGGCTGTGTGTAGGATTCAGATGCAGATGTTATCTGCACAAGCCTTGAATATTTTATAACTGTTCTACCTCATGGGCACCCTGACTGCTCTCTAGAGGTCTCAATTTATTTGCTCTCTGCCTAAATCCACTAAAGAAGGCCAATCCTCAGATCTTTTGCCACTGCGTTTGAGACTCTCTAAACCAGTTGAAATCTGGAAAA